GACGGGGGGGGAAGGGGGGACACCCTGGCCTGCATGGCACACAGTAAAGGGGCAGCCAGAGCCCAGCCCGGCCCGCGGAGAATGGTGACCCGGCCTCAGCCCCGCACACCCGGTCCGGCCCCCAGCAGCGGGAGGAGCCCAGCAGGCTCGGGACCGATGTGGGCTCCTCCCTCCTGGAAAGGGCTTCTCTGCCAGTCGGAGGGCTCCTCAGCCAGTGACCGGAGAGCTGAGACCCAGAGCCCCCGGGAGCCCAGCCGCAGGCTTGCCATGCCCCAGCACACCCCTGGCGGTTTGTTGCAGACAGCTGATTCTGGCTGCTAGAAAGCACCTACATGTCCTCCTGGTCTGGCTCTGCCCTGACCACTTGGCTCCTTGTGCCATGGCCAGGATCTGGCCCTGACCACGGGCTGAGTTCATGATGGTGGCAAACCCCAAATCAGGACAGCCAGGGCCGCGACTTGCTGTAGCTGCTAGCTGTGTGCCAGGTGAGCAGACTCTGGGTGAGCAGCCGTGGCTGCCCGTGCCCCCGGGGGCGGGCAGAGGCAGACCAAAGGCCCGGCGACCGGTGACCACCGGTTCCAAGCAGACACACCTGCCTGCAGTGGCTTGGGATGGGTGAATGCCCACGGGCTGTGCGCATGCAAAGCTGGAACTCGCAGGTGAGGGAAGAGGCCAGGGGCCGGCCTGGGGCTGTCTCCGTGCGGCGGGGGGCACTCAGCGCCAGCTGAGCACCCAGGACGCCTGGGCTGGGCTGGAACTCGGGCGCACAGGGCTGTCCTCCCTCGGGGATGAGTCACTGACAAGTGCTTTCATATCCCCGTCAGCGCACAACAATAATAAAGGTTATTTATAAAGCTTGGTGCTCCCCCGCCCCCCAGGTATGCTGCGGATAGGTAAAGATGACCCACTTAGAGACGCACCAGAGGGAGGAAAGGCAGGGATAATAAGCAGTGGTCTGGATCGCTTCCAGCAGACGGTGTCCTGGCCGCCCAGGACTTGGGTCCTTTCCCAACATCACGTTGGTTCCATTCAGGAGTGAAAAGCACCCAGGACCTGGCCAGGTGTGTGCGGCGTGTTTTGGCTTTCCTCTCAGCCCTGCATGCAGTGTGCCTGCCGTGTGGGGTCCAGGCTCCTGAGTCCTAGCCGGGGTGCATCCCGGTGCCCCAGCAGGGGGTCGGGCCAGGGCGCAGGCAGACGCGTCGGCATGTGTGTGACCTGTGTGCGCGTGTTCTGCATGCACGTGTCCTGCGTACACGTGAGCCCTGTGCGTGTGCGTCCTGCATGCGTGTGCGTCCTGCATGCGTGTGTCCTGCGTGTGTGTGCATCCTGTGTACATGTGTGTCCTGCGTGCATGTGTTCTGCATGCGCGTGCATCCTGTGTACACATGCGTCCTGTGTGCGTGTGTCCTGCGTGCACGTGCATCCTGCCAGTTCTTGTTCTTAAATAAGGAATGCCCAGGACAGAGGAGCAGAGCCCTGCCGGCTGCGCCTGCATGAAGGCCGCCGTGTCCACTCCACTGCAACCGGACTCCCTCTTCTACCACATGCGCCCCAGCTCCGAGCTGAGGCAGGGCGGGCAGCGTGGGCAGGGCGGGCAGCGCGGGCAGGGGGGCCCCTATCCTGTCAGGTCTTGGGAGGCAGCTGCAGTCCTGGTCCTCGGATGTGGCCCTTGGAGCCCACACCCCTCCTAGAGCAAACCTGGGAGGGGTGAGATTCCCGTCCTGACCTCTGGGAGGCAGAGACGGTCCCCTGGTAGCAGGGCACGTGTCCTGTGTCTGCACGCCCCTGTGCAGTGCTCTGGGTGCACTGACAAGCCCAGGCACCGCCATCCAGCAGCCAGCTCACCCCGCCTCCCTCCTCCCGGTGGTTAGCACGGCCCCTCGGGCAGGGCGGGGACAGCCAGGTGTGTGGCGCCCCCTGGAGGGGGGGCACAGACACCTGCTCCTTGCGCCACACCGCTGGAGAGAGCAGGGTGTGACCCCGCAGCGCCGCGGCTGGCAGAGGACAGCTGGCCTTCAGGGACGGGACAGAGCCTGCATTTTAGGCTTGTTTCTGTCAAACAGCGCACCTGTGAGCGTGGCGGGGTGGTGTGTGCTCCCGTCCTGACCTCTGCTGGGTACCGTGGAGTGGTGCGCCCTCCGTGGGGCCCTGTATTTGTGGGGCCTCCTCTCTCCCATCAGGCTCCGAAGCCCCGTTATTGTATAATCTCACCGTCACGATTGCGGTGTTGTACGGGGCTACCATTTCGTGTGTCAGGAAAGGAGTCCGTGTCTTTTCTGGGTAACGTCCCCCCTCCTCTGCTCTCCCCGTGTTGCAGAGTCATTTTCCAGTAGCGCATACCGACTAGCATGGCTGCATTCCTTCCCCCTTCCCCCTCCTTTTCTGCCATTCCCTCTTTATTCCCCTTTTAAAAAAACAATAAAAAAGCAAAAATAAACACCACCAACACCAATAACAATAACAACAAATCTATGTTTCCATTTCCTGGAATTCCCTTAGATAACCAGTATTTTAAATGTTTAGGGGAGTTACACTTTGGGGTTTCTCCCTGAGGGTTCCTTCCTTTAGTCTGTGTGTGCATGCCTAGAGTCTCGTACACATGATCATGTCTAGTTGTATTTTAGATCTGGCATCCACACTGAGAGAAAACATGTGCTGTTTGTCTCTCTGATTTTAGATCGCCTCACTTAACATGATTTGTTCTTGGTCCATTTCCCTGCAAAGGACACACGTTTATTCTGTCTAAGGGATGACCAACATTCCATTGTGTATAGGAACCACGTCTTTGGATCTACTCATCTGTTGCAGGGCATCTGGGCTGTTTCTAAACCTTGGCTACTGTGAATAGTGCAGCAGTGAACGCGGGTGCGCAGGTGTCTTTATGGTCTCCTGGCTCACGATGTTCTGGGCAGATGCCCAGGTGTGGTAGGGCTGGGCCACAGGGAAGGTCTCTGCTTAGTCTTTGAGGAGCCTCCAGACCGCTGTCCAAGTGTTTGGACTAGTTCGCAGCTGTGCACTGGGTTCCTTCCTCCCGCCCCACCAGCCGTTGTTGTCTGAATTCTTGATGGTGGCCAATCTCACTGGGGTGAGATGGAATCTGGGAGTTGTTTTGATTTTCATTTCCTTTATGGCCAGGGATGTTGAGCATTTCCTCATGTGTTTATTTGCCATTCTTTCTTCTGAGAAGTCTTTCTTTAGCTCCTTTGCCTACTGATGGGTTGCTTTGTTAGTTTGGGAGGGGGTTAGTTTCTGGAGTTCCTTGTATATTTAGGATTTTTGGCTTTTGTTGGATGTATTGCTGATAAAGATATTCTCTCAGTCTGTTGGCTGTCTTTCCAGCTTAGAAACTATGTCCTTTGCTGTGCAGAAACTTTTTTATTTGGATACAAACCTATTTGTCAAGTCTCTCTCCTATCTGTTGTGCCTCTGGGACTTTTATCAAAAAGTTCTTGCCTATATCTATAAATTCTAGTGTTTCTCCTCCTCCCTCTTGCAGTAGTTTCAAACTTCCACGTCCGATGTTAAGGTCTTTGATCCGCTTTGGGTTGATATTGGTGCATGGTGACAAACAGGTTCTACTTTTAGTTTTCTGCCTACGGAGGCCCAGTTTTACCAACACCAATGATTGAAGAGGCTCTCTTTCCCACCATACTGGGCTGTCAAATATCAGATAACTAAGTATAATAGCTTTATTACTGGGTCTTCTGTACTGTTCCATTGATGGCTGGGCCTGTTTCTGTGCAGTACCAAGCTGTTTCTGTTACAGCTCTGCAGTAGAGCTGAGCTCCAGGATTGTGATACCACCAGCATTGCTTTTTGTGCCTAAAATTGCTTTGGCTATTTGAGGTCTTTTGTGGGATTGTTTGGGTGCAGAATATCATTGCGATTTTGACAGAGTGTTCTAAATTTATAGATCACCTCTGGCAGAACCCTAGGCCCCTTTCATGGGGAGCAGTTTTGGAAAGCCGGCCAGGCCAGGGGCAGATGTGGTCCTCCGGTCAGGACAACTGTGTCTTCTGACCACTCTGAGGGTCTCAGGAGCTGCTGTCTAGTGGTGTGGCCGCTGGGTTGGCAGCAGGGTCTCAGCTCACTCCCACGGGAGCTGCGTGAGTATAGATGTGGACATGGGGGGCTCCAGGCGGGGACGGGGGAGGCACCCTGGGTCTCTGGGCCTCTGGGGGCCCAGGGGAAACCCAGCCAGAGGGATGTTCTGCCCCAGATGCTGCTGTGGGATTGATCCCGAGGCCCCGTAGCCCGGCCTCTGTCTCTTGCTACTCAGGCTGCTCCAGGCTGTGGTAGCTGCTGGTAGTCTTCCAGGCATGATGTGTGTGTGTGTGAGTGTGTGAGTGTGTGTATGTGAGAGAGAGCTTTGGATGAACCCTGGCACAGACGGGTGCGTGGCGACCCGCTGGGCACCCGTGGGCAGCAGGAGCACTGCTACTGCGCCCCACAAAACCTGCGGGCTGCCCAGAGCCCGCGAGCAGGAAGGCGGCGGGACCCCCACGCCCCGGCCAGCACGGCGCCAGAGAGGCTCAGCTGGGCGCAGCGGCTGCAAAGGCCCGGCCCGGAGCCCGGGAGCGGCCTGGGCTCTGGAGCTGTGCGCTACTCTTTAGACCGGTGCGGCCTGCGGCCTGCGGCCTGCGTGTGCTGAGGCCAGCACCGTGTGACCTGGGAAAAGATGGAGCCTCACTAGAGGCAGCAAGAGAGGAGCTGAGAACAGGCGGATGAGGGCAGAAAGGAGGCTTTGTTTATTGCAGGTCAAGACAGGGCAGGGACGGAGGAGACGCCGTGGGGGGTGGGGGCAGAGAAGCCCAGGCTGGGGAGGCCCCTACCTCAGTGGCCCCCTGAGGTGTGATGAGCTGGCTGAGCGCTCAGCGCCAACGCAGGGCAGGTGGGCAAGACTCGCACCGAGGCTCCTGCTGCAGCTCAGTCCTGCAGGCAGCAGTGAGGCCCTGGGTGGGGGGTGGAGGGACCAGCACCCACGGCCCCAGCCGCGCCCATCAGCAGCTGCACTGGCCCGGGGAGCCGCCACAGCAGGCCTGGCGGGAGCAGGCAGGGCGGCACAGCAGGGACACGCACGAGGCCGCCGGGCGGCAGCAGCCGGGCTGGCAGCAGGGGGCACAGCAGGAGGAGGTGGGCACGCAGCAGGCGGGCCTGCACACGGGCCTGCACAGCAGGGACACGCTGGAGGACGGCGGGCAGGGCAGGCAGGGGCGGCAGCAGGGCTGGCAGCTGGACGGCTGGCAGCAGCAGGAGGAAGCCCCGCAGCACACGGGCTCACAGCACACGGGTGTGCAGCACATGGGTGTGCAGCACACGGGCTCACAGCACACAGGCTTACAGCAGACGGGCTTGCAGCAGACGGGCCCGCAGCAGGAGGTCTGGCAGGCTGAGCAGGGGCAGCAGCAGGAGGTCTGGCAGGCTGAGCAGGGGCAGCAGCAGGACGGCTGGCAGGCTGAGCAGGGACAGCAGCAGGGCTGGCAGCTAGACGGCCGGCAGCAGGAGGGTGTGCAGCAGCTGGCGCAGACGGACTGGCAGCAGGGGCTGGATGCACAGCCCGCTGGGGAGCAGAGGAAGGTGAGGCAGGGGGCGGGGGCGCAGCCGCGGGGCTGGCAGCAGCTGGGGGCGCCGCAGGGCTCGCAGCAGCTCTCTGGGCAGTCGTCCACCTGCCAGGAGGCGTGGGTGCAGGTGTCAGAGCAGACGGACATGGTGGAGGCGGCCATGGCGGCGGGGCTGGGAGGAGCAGGGGTGTGAGTAGTGTGAGTGAGTGTGAGTGTGAGTGAGTGTGAGGTGCTTGGGCTCCTGGGCTTTTATACAGGCCAGGTGTTTTCAGCCGGGCACTCCGGGCGTCGGCCCTTCCTTGTTGGTGGCCCTTCCTTGTTGGTGGCCCTTCCTTGTTGGTGACCCTTCCTTGTTGCTGTTTTGCGCTGGCTTCTGGGTCCTCTTTAACTCAGGTGTATTTACACAAGGCCTTGTTCTGCCAGCACAGCACAAACACGTACGGAGGGCAAGGGCCACGCAGACGAGCCTCTGTGCGCTGGGCCACGGCCGGTGCAGGATGACCTTGCTCTGCTACCAAGACCTGCTGGGCCGGGAGGGGAGAGGCCGGGAGTTCCGGTCTTGCGCCTGAGCCACACAGAGCGGTGCGCCGCAGCCAGGGAGGACGGGCCCGGGAAGAGGCAGAAGGGCGGAGGAGCAGAGGGACATGGTGGAGGCGGCCATGGCGGCAGGGCTGGGAGGATGGGGAGGGGAGGACATGGTGGAGGCGGCCATGGCTGCGGGGCTGCGAGGAGGAGGAGGGGGAGGACATGGTGGAGGCGGCCATGGCGGCGGGGCTGGGAGGAGGAGGGGAGGACATGGCGGGGCTGCGAGGAGGAGGGGGAGGACATGGCGGGCTGCGAGGAGGAGGGGGAGGTGTGAGTGTGGAGCTGGGTCGTCACTTTGTACTTCCCTACTCCCCGTGTTGTCTGCCTCCCTGCTCCTAGAAGCGCCTCATTCTGGGTTGGTGTGGACTGTTCTGGAAGCCCCTGGTTATGGTATCGTGTTTTCCCAGAGGTGTGCAGCTTGTAAAGCTCAGGGCTGTGGTGGGCGGGGCTGCGGCGTGGACAGCAGGGTGAGCGCACGGTCTCTGTGGGTGGGGGTGACGGGTTGGGTCTGCAGCCGTCTCCGCGCACGCCTCCTCTCCCTCTCCTCTGCCACCATGTTTGGGAGAGCGGGCAGGGCCAGCGTGGCCGGGGCCTCGGGGGGAGGCGCCTCTCCTGGGCCCTGAGGACGGGGTGCGTGGAGACCCAGGACGTTTGTTGGTTCGCAAAGCCCAGCAAGGCCGGGCCACACCTCGGCGCGGGCACACCGGCAGGGCACGGGGCCCTGCCACCGCGCTGTGTGCTGATCGGGCCTGGGACGGCCCAGCTGGTTGGTGGAGGCTGTGGAAGTCATCGTGAAGCCGTTGGGCCGCCCTCACCCCAGCCTGCGATGTCAGCCTCGTCCTCCACGCGCACCGCCCAGGCCCGAAGGGGTCATGAGCTCCGGCGGCTCTGGCGGCTCCTCGGGAGCAGTCACGCGCCTCGGTTTCCAGAGGGCACAGAGGATGGGGGCGGAGGGCCGGGCTGGAGCACAGCGTTGCCTTCCCGTCCTGCTCTCTTCCAACGAAACGTCGTCGTAGCCCAGTGAAGGGGGCATAAGAAACACAAGGGGCGCAGCCGGGTCCTGTGCGCTGGCTGTTGGTTAGACGCGGTGCATCTTTGACACCTCCCCGTGAGCGGCTTCTCCCGCATCTGCAAGATACGCTCAGCCTCTCCCGCGCTGTCACTGCCCGCATGCGCTCAGGGGCGCTGGTCACGAAGGTGCCGCCTGCCCGGCCTCCCTGCCCTGCTCCTGAGGAACCCCAGGCCCGCGGCTTCTGTGGTTGCGGCCGTCCGCCCTGCGCTCTCTGTTTCCGCTCAGCAGTGTTGCTCTCCACGCTCTGGCTTGGGCCTGTGGTGGCCTCCGAGCTGTGGCGGCTAGTGGTCAAGCTCTGTGGCCAGCCTTGAAATTCCTGGGGAGCCTGTCCACAGACTCGCGTTCCCGGGGCTGAGCCGGGGGGCTCTGTGTGGGGCCCGGGGCTGACGGGTCGCAGCGGCCACGACGTGCTTCCGTGGAATGGAGAGTTGTGGCGCCTTCACCCTGGAAGCATGCTCCCCTCGGAGCTGGAGACCAAGGTCTGCTTCTCCAGAGATGAGACAGGACCCAGGCGCACCCACAGGGAGATCGCGTGGCGGGAGACGCACAGGGGAGGCCAAGCGGATGCAGCTTGACGGGGCGTGGGAGGATCCGCCAGGCCCATCGCCGGCAGCAGCTGGAAGGGCAGGCCGGCCTGGGTAGGGTGTTCTTTTCTTGCTTCTCTTTGCGGAGCTGGAGCTCAAGGCCTGTGCTCGCTCACACGGCGCCCGGCCACGTGAGCCCCGCCTCCCCCCTAGTTATTTTGGAGATGGCGTCTAGTAACTTGTCCTCCTGCTGGTGACAAGCTGCAGTTCTCCAGCGATCGGCCCCACGCGACCGAGAAGCAGGGATGGCCGTGTGAGTCCCAAGTGTCTGAGCAGCGGGGACCACAGTGGCGGTGTCCCATGAGGCCACCTCCCATGTGGCTGAAGAGCAGGGACCACAGAGGTGGTCTGCAGTGCCCCGCTCAGACTGTTTTCTGTGTAAGGGGGCCGGGCAGGGGCTGGTGCAGGGGCTGGTGCAGGGGCTCGGGCAGGGCTGGGGCAGGGCTGGGGCAGGGGCTGGGGC